ACCATAAGCATGTATAAGGGAGATGACATTTGAACTAATCTTGAAGGATAAGTAGATGTTAGTTACATGAAAAAGGAAAAGAGCTAGAAAACAGTCCAGGCAAGAGAGGCATATACTTATGGGTGTGACATTGAGAAAGGACATGGGTTCTGACAGTGATGAGAATTTCAGTATTTTAATACTGAAGTTGGAAGAGCAGTTGTGGCCAGATTGAGAAGGTTCTTGAGTACCAAGTTAACAAGTTAGTACTTAATACTGTAGAAAATCGAGAATTAGTGCAGGTAATGAATCAGGAAAGTGATGCCATTAGATTTTGTATTTAGGAAGAAGATTCTGGAAGCTCTGTAGAAGTTGGGTTGGCAGAAGAGAGACATGAGAGGTTGGGAATGGACTGACAGGACTCACCTGAAATTGATGGTTTGAGCAATTAGGTGGCTTGTAATTATCAATAAAGGGGGAAGCAGGAGAAGGTTTGGTGAGTGGACAAGATGTGTTCAGTTTGGACATGTTATGTTCTGTGTGCCTTTGTTTTATTGGAATTCAGTAGGAAAGAGAACTAAATTATAAGTATCCATGGCCGTGACACACTCTTTAAAGATATTTTGTAGGTTCCAGTAAGAGAATTAGCAATAGGAGTAGGAATGACCTGTAATATCGTTATCCCCTCAGTCAGGTTGTATTTCATTCTTGCCCTCTCTCATCAGTTTCTTTATTTGTTCTCTACGATTTCTTTAAATTTTCTCTCTCTCTAGACTCCTTTATCTGCTCTTAATATTATTCTGTCGTCCTTTTTCCTTGTTGTCTTGTCACAAATAATGTAAGATGAGTAGCTTTAAAAACATCTGACAAAGTTCCTCATTTTATGGACTTAAAATTTATCCAACTCTGGATATTTGCTATCCATATGCTATCTTTTATTTAACTTGTAAAATAGCTAATACTGTGCAGCATTTGTGCATATATTTAAATGTCTTGTCAAAATGATGCAGGTGGACACCTGATTATAAAGGAACAGAGGTCAATACTCATTTATGTTGTGTGTTTGGATGAATTTTATACATATCTAATTCTTCATCCTTTCACTGAGGAAATAGAAACCATTTCCCCTTAATTTCTAGGCATCAAATTCTCTCTGCCTCTGGGGTCTAGCACAGTTCATGGCACATAGTAGCTAATCACTTATTGAATGAATGAATGTGCTTGTATCTTTTCTTCCCTCATGTAATAGAGGAGGTGGCTGTGCTCCAGCAGTTAAGCCTGTAAGTGCTATGGCTCATCATCCCCTCCTGACTTCTTAGGGACTTTATTCTTGTGTTTTCAGTCTCTCTCTCTCTGTAGTGGATCTTTCGCATGAACATTTACACATGTTCAAGCCTTCCCTGTCTTCAAACATAGAACAAAACACTTTTTCCCCCAGACTCTCTTTTTTGGTCCCCTTTAGCCTGTAGTGTCATGTTTCTGTCTCCCTCTCAAGCCAGACATTTTAAAAAACGTATCTGTACTTGTTATTAAACACATTTTCACTTCTTGCCCATTTTCTTAGTTTCTTTCTTGATTTTTCTGCAGTATTTGATATTGACCACTTTTCCTTTCTTTAATGTAGCACATTTTTCTGGGTACGCCTTTCCTTCACAGGTTCATCCTCTTCTGCCTGTTCCTTAAATGTCTGCATTCCTCAAAGGCTACTTTCTCTTCTCATTCTACTCATAGTCCTTGAATGATCTAACTTACTACTTTGGATGCACTCCATTTGTGTAGATCCAGCTTTTTTACTGTTTTGTCTCACAAGCTGTCCAGACTCTGTGACCAGCAACCTTGAATTGATTAACTGTCCTTCTTTACCTCCACCTGAACCTTCTCCAGTGTTTCCTATTGCAGTGAATGGCACCACCATCTACCCTGTTGCCCAGGCCAGAGTGCCCTCTCTTCCCATTTCCCCCCTTGATTCTTAGTTGTAGTTTTTCTGATAAAATAAATTAATTTTAAACTGTTAGAGGCATTTTTCTTGGTTGCACATTCTAGTTTTCATTAGTATAAATTTAGGAGCTATTAGGGCACATTTGATTTCTTTAGGCTATTTTTCGCTCCAATTATTAGTGACTGATATAAATCTAAAATAAATGTCCATTAAGATTTTTAGTTTACATAAATCAAAATTAAAATGTGTAGGAATTTATGTTTTATCAAAGATGATTATATTCAGTGTTTGTTCTAAATCATGTATTGTGGGTTTTTTTGTTTTCATTTTTATTTTTTTTTATTGGGGAATAGTTGCTTTACAATATTGTGTTAGTTTCTGCTGTACAATGAAGTGAATCAGCTATATGTATACATATATCCCCTCCCTCTTGGACCTCCCTCCCCCCGCCCCCAATCATGCCCATCTAGGTCACCACAGAGCACCGAGCTGAGCTCCCTACGCTATACAGTGGTTCCCATTAGCTATCTGTTTTACACATGGTAGTGTGTATGTATATGTCAGTCCCAATCTCCCAGTTCATCCCACCCTCCCTTACCACTCACCCACCGTGTCCACACGTTTGTTCTCTATGTCTGCATCTCTATTCCTGACCTGCAGATAGGTTCATCTGTACCATTTTTCTAGATTCCACATAAATGAGTTAATATACAGTATTTGTTTTTCTCTTTCTGACTTACTTCATTCTGTATGACAGACTGTAGGTCCATCCACGCCTCTACAAATGACCCAACTTTGTTCCTTTTTATGACTGAGTAATATTCCACTGTATATATGTGCCGCGTCTTCTTTATCCATTCCTCTGTTGATGGGCATTTAGGTTGCTTCCATGTCCTGACTATTGTAAATAGTGCTGCAGTGAACATTGGGGTGCATGTGACTTTTTGAATTATGGTTTTCTCTGGGTATATGCCCAGTAGTGGGATTGCTAGGTCATATGGTAGTTCTATTTTTAGTTTTTTAAGGAACCTCCATACTGTTCTCCATAGTGCTGTATCAGTTTACATTCCCACCAAACAGTGCAAGAGAGTTTCCTTTTCTCCACATCCTGTCCAGTATTTATTGTTTGTAGATTTTTTGATGATGGCCATTCTGACCAGTTTTGATCTGCATTTCTCTAATAGTTAGTGATGTTGAGCATCTTTTCTTGTGCCTCTTGGCCATCTGTATGTCTTCTTTGGAGAAATGTCTATTTAGGTTTTCTGCCCCCCCCCCCTTTTTTTTTTTTTGCGTTACGCAGGCCTCTCACTGCTGTGGCCTCTCCTGCTGCAGAGCGCAGGCTCCGGATGCGCAGGCCCAGCGGCCATGGCTCACGGGTCCAGCCTCCCCGCGGCATGCGGGATCCCCCCAGACCAGGGCACAAACCCACGTCCCCTGCATCGGCAGGCGGGCTCTCAACCACTGCGCCACCAGGGAAGCCCTCTGCCCATTTTTTGATTGGGTTGTTTGTTTTTTTGATATTGAGTGCATGAGCTGTTTGTATATTGTGGGGACTAATCCCTTGTTGGTTGCTTCATTTGCAAAACATTTTCTGCCATTCTGAGGGGTGTCTTTTCGTCTCGTTTATGGTTTTCTTTGCTGTGCAAAAGCTTTTAAGTTTCATTAGGTCCCATTTGTTTATTTCTGTTTTTATTTTCAGTACTCTAGGAGGTGAGCCAAAGAAGATCTTGCTGTGATTTATGTCAAAGAGTGTTTTCCCTATGTTTTCCGCTAAGAGTTTTATAGTGCCTGGTCTTAAATTTAGGTCTTTAATCCATTTTGAGTTTATTTTTGTCTATGGTGTTAGGGCGTGTTCTAATTTCATTCTTTTACAAGTAGCTGTCCAGTTTTCCCAGTGCCACTTATTGAAGAGATTGTCTTTTCTCCATTGTATATTCTTGCCTTCTTTGTCATAGATGAGTTGACCATAGGTGTGTGGGTTTATCTCTGGGCTTTCTGTCTTGTTCCATTGATCTATATTTCTGTTTTTGTGCCAGTACCATACTGTCTTGAGTACTGTACCTTTGTAGTATAGTCTGAAGTCAGGGAGCCTGAATCCTCCAGCTCCGTTTTTCTTTCTCAAGATTGTTTTGGCTCCTCGGGGTCTTTTGTGTTGCCATACAAATTGTAAAAATATGGAATGCTTCATGAATTTGTGTGTCATCCTTGCACAGGGGCCCATGCTAATTTTTTCTCTATCCTCCAATTTTAGTATATGTGCTGCCAAAGCTAGCACTCATGTATTGTTTTCTTTTTTTTTCTTTTAATTAGTTTTTGGAGTTGAAAAAACCTCTTAGTTTCACATAGGAAATGATGTTATAACATTTTCGATACAAAGAAAGATGTTTGGCTATGCTGACAGAAAAATGTAACTTCCTGCCATATCCACTCTTCCTCACCATTGCCTGCTCATTTTGTTTCCCAGTCTGGTTTATAATAAAACTCATTGAAAATAGAAACTGTCTCATACTTATGCACCTCCTTCCACAATGATATTGTGGTTGTGGCCATTATAGATTTTTAGTAAGGATTGACTTTAAAACTTAAGTTTATGAGTAATAATTTCATTGTATCTACAGATAGGCATAATTTCATTCCCATAGGACCTACATTTTGCATTCCCATAGTGCCTACAAATATGCGTAATTGATACAGGCTGTAAAAAAGAGGTTTAACAGGCATTAGAATTTGTTCTATTCTGAGTTGACCATTGATTTATTGACTATTTGAACAATTATAACTGAAGTTTCAGATTGTTTTATGACTCAGCTTGCTCAAAAGAAATTGGCTTTCTTAATGAATTTTAAAAAGCAAGCTCTCATGGTGGCTTTATTCTCTTTTTGGCTTAATCTCTGATATTTAGAATAAAATAGATTGTTTTAAAAGAATAATCCACAACAAGGAGCAATGATTATGCTCCACAAACAGATGAGTTTTTACTTTTACATAGTATTTATTCATTTTACCTTAGAGAGGCTCAGATCTCATGCTATCTTTTTGGGCCAGTGGGCTGCTTCTCATCTGTATTTGTTTTCTTCTTTAGATATTAGGATCAAGGAAGAAGAACCTGATCCTGAAGAGTGGCAGCTCAGTGGTGATTCTACATTGAATACCAATGATCTAACACATTTAAGAGTACAGGTGGTAGATGAAGAAGGGGACCAACAACATCAAGAAGGAAAAAGACTTCGAAGGGTAGCTTGCACCTGTCCCAACTGTAAAGAAGGTGGTGGGAGGTATGCACACACGAAACATACTTTTCTTTTTGGACTGTTAATATCATCACCCTAATTTTTGAAATGCTGCATGCCATGTCACTTAACTAAGGGAAATTATTCATTACATGATCATCTTGTGTGTTTGTCTGTATGAGTGTGGCAGAAAAAGAGAACAAAATATATGAAATCAAATTTTCAGTTCTAAATGTCTTTTTTTAAAAAACTAAAATTACTTAGTTTACTTAAAAAAAAAAAAAAGTATAGTAAGATGCCATTTAACAGGCCCATATTGGATATTAGTCTGTTTGCAAACCAGCAATGGATCTGCCTAAATACTGATTAAAAAGTTGATTCTTCTGTACAGTAGAAACTAACACAACATTGTAAAGCAACTATACTCCAGTAAAAATAAATTTTTTAAAAAAGTTGATTCTTAGCTTGAGAATAGCAGTTATATAATATAAAATAAGTTCAGAAATTGTTAATAAAGCATAAGTATTTTCCATTTTCAATAGAAATGAATAATAAAGCCTTAATGATGGAATTTTTTAAAAAGTGGAACTGTAATATTTCCATTCAGTGTTTTCAGAAATAAACATTAAGAAATAATAACGTGACAGGAATAAACTCAAAACAGATCAGTAATTATATTAAAAGTGGATGGATTAAGCTTAATAATTGAGAGATTGACTCTCAGATCATATTTAAAAGACATAAAGCCCAGCCTTATATTGATTATAAGGAACATCTCAAATGGGTGCAGGAATGTTGAAAATAAAGGAATGGAAAAGATTTATTAGGCAAATGTTAACAAAAAGGAAACTTGGACATGGTAAGATTAAGGTGAAAATATCAAATGGATAGATTTCTTTTTTTTTTTTTTTTGCGTTACATGGGCCTCTCACTGTTGTGGCCTCTCCTGTTGTGGCGCACAGGCTCCGGGCGCGCAGGCTCAGCAGCCATGGCTCACGGGCCCAGCCGCCCCGCGGCATGTGGGATCTTCCCGGACCGGGGCACCACCCCGTGTCCCCTGCATCGGCAGGCGGACTCTCAACCACTGCGCCACCAGGGAAGCCCAGGGACATATTTCTAAATAATATGAAGTTTTCACCAAGAAGATTTAATAGCCATGGTACCTTTTCTCCACAACTTTGAAATATATAGAGCAAAAACTGATAGAACTCTAAAGACATTATAACCATATTCTCTAGTCATAGTGAAAGACCTTAATATAACTCTCTCAGAAATGAACTATTTAAATAGACCAGAAAAAAAAAAAACCAACCCTGTTAATGCAGTTAATGAATTTGATCTAATAGAGCCTCTCTGCCTTTGAGTTGATTTGTACATTGGCCAGCCCATTCACAATGATAGTAATGACTAGTAACTGTTAATACTGAGAGCTTACTGTGTTCTAGATGGTCTTATAAGTGAGGTATGGAGAAGTTGAATGATTCTTTACAGCATACACAGCTGGGATTTGGACCCAGTTTCTTATCAAGGCCTTAACCACTGCACTGTACTGCCCCCCAGGTGAATTTGCTTCTTCTCAATCTGATCCTTAGGCATTTGTATTTCCTACTGGTAATTATTCACTTGTTTGAAGTTTTACTTATTCTTTGAAATGTTTCGGTCAATTTAAATAAGTTAGTGTGGAATTCTGGTTAGACAGCTTTTCTGAAATTTACTCTCATTTTTACGGGAACTTTCAAGATAAATTTTCATGGAAGTCAAATCTAACTGAGGGTCAAGGCCTTGCCTGTGTTTTGCTTATTCTTTTCTTTAAATTGAAAATCTGTTAAAATTATTTTTATTAAATTAATACATGCTCATAAAAATTTAGAAATATAGAGGAGTTTTAAAAGAATACCAAACTTCTACCCTACTTCAAGATGACTATTGTAACATTTTTGTATATATCCTTCCAGACTTTACTCTCACTGTTTTAAGTGTCTTGTTTTTCTTTTGAAAATTTTCGTGATCATATTTCCAAGTGTACATAGAGTTTGTATCAGTTTTTTATGACTGTATAGTATTCTGTGGTATGGATGTGTAAGAATTTAACAACTTTTTTGGGAGTTTATTGTTGAAATTCTAATTCTTACACATATATCTTTGCACATCTGATTATTTCATCATTATAAGTTGGCAGTGGTGGAATTGTTTTATCAAAGGGAATTGTCTGCTAGAAAGGTTATATCAATTTATACTCCATCAGTGGTGTATGAGAGTGTGTTTTCCCACACCCTTGCCAACAATGGATTTTATAATTTTTAAAAACCTTTTAAAGTCTGAGAGATGAAAAGTAATACCTCACTATTGTTTTATTCAGTATATTTTTACTTTTTTTGAACATTTTTTGTTGTGTTATTTTACCATTTCAAAATTTCTTTTGTGAATTATTTCTTTGTCTTTTGTGAATCTGTTAATTTGTCTGTCATATGTGCACATATTTTTTTCCAGTTTTACACTGTCTTTCAACTTTGTCAGTGGTTTGCAAAATGCATTTATTTACACAAGTAAAGAAAGTTCTCACTTAAAGCTTGCAAACCTTTTTTTAAGCACAAAATTTTTAGTTGAGATGCATTATTATCATGCTATTAAAAGTCTTCCTTAAACTGAGGATTATAAAAATACTCATATTTTTCCAGAACTTTTGTGAGTTCATTTTTTAATAACTTATTCTAACAATTAAAATTGAAGTTCTTAAGAAAAACAACTGTTGTTTCTTAGAGCTCATTTGAACAAAATTCAACTAATATATTCATGATAGGCACAATTGTATCATTGACAGTTGCTGCATCTAATTAATAGAAGCATAACATATAGTAAATCCTGTTCTGCAAAGGTGAGGTAGGTGGCACTTTATACATTTTAGAATATTAGCCTTTCTTTCCGCAACAGTATTCTTTTAAAAAAATAATAGTATGTATGAAGTGGCATCTTCAGAGAACTAAATTTTATTTTTTTTACCTTTTTGAGCAAGATGTAAAATATAATTAAATATTTAAAAACTGTATTCATTTGGGCATTTAGCCAATATTTATTAAGCAGAACCAGACTCCAGAAACTTTTTATACTCTAGTGGAAGAGACAGTTTTATAAAGAAAAATAAATTCTAAAGGCGTTATTGTTATATAGGTTTTGTGTGGTTTAGACAACCTCAATCCATTTTTTAAAAATTTAAGTTAATTTGTAAAATCTGTTTTCTTCCCTGTTGGCCTTTCAGTTTGTGTTCCGTTTCTCCTGTCACAAGCAAAAGACTCGATTTACTTAACTTTTCTTAATCCCTCTACGCAGAATTTAGCTTTATTTATTGTGTCACTCTGTCTTTGCATTATTAAAATTTGGGGAGCAAGTTTAAGCAGTCAAGAAAATGAACTTAAAATTGTTAGTTTTGTAAGATCATGTAATAGGTATTAGTGGTATAACTATATAAATCAAGAGGAAAACTTACGGTAATCTTTACTACTTGAAGTTTGTTGATAAATTCACTTCAGTCCTCTTCCTTCACATCACATGCCATAAATCCATATCTGGCATATCTAGATCTTATCTTGAGTTAAAAATTTTTTTTTAAATAAAAACTTGGACCTCGGTATTGGACCTTTCCCCTTATATTGTATATTTTTGTGTGCCCCGTCTCCATTTTTTTTCCTTAGTTGCCTGTCCCATTTTCAGACAATGAGTATGTCTTGTTTCCTTATAATTCAGTTGATGAAAACATCTTTCCCTGGATTTTTGGTTCTTTGGGAACTCATATTTGTTGCTGTAATTTGTTATAGTCTTGTGCTTTGTTCGTGCTCTCAAAGCTAAATTTTGCTAAGTTAGTAAAATAGCACTTTTGAATTTATAAAAGCACATTGATTCACCTGAGTGGTAGGATTAGAAGAGAGGCAAGCAGTTATGAGTGTAGAGTGAACTGAATCGGGTTCTCTGTGAAATTGCTATGGTGAACACAATATGTAAAATCGGTTTGTACACCAATAGCCACAGACATTGCTCTTTTTCTTAGGGCCATTTAAGAATAAAACAAATTTAAAAAGCTAAATTAAATGGAAATATTATTGGCTTTGGTTAAGACTTTGGCATTGCAGGTGAGCCAGCAAAACCTGTTTCACTCAACTCAGCTCTTTGAAGAGAGTTGTAGAAATTGGGGGTGGACTGGAGCAGAAACTAGAATTGTGTTAGATTATGACATCCTTGCCCTTGAGACAACAGCATGACTCCTCCTTGTCTTTACTTATGCTATTCCTCTGCCTGGAATGCCTTCCCTCCTTTCTATCTAAATCCTACCCACCTCCTCCACGAAGCCTTCTCTAACTACTGGAGCCCACATTGATGTCTCCCTGTTCAGAACACCTATGGCATCTAACAGCCAGCACTGCACCGTTTAGCACTGTTTGTCCTATGGCAATTTCACATGCTACTGAGTGTGAGTACATTAAAATATAAATGTGGGGAAATATGCATTTTTCCAGTAAAATTTGAAAAACGATAGGTATATTATATACAGGAGGATTTGCAGGCTTATGGAAGGTTTACAGGCTATACCTAGACTGAGATTGTGGGAGGAGGGGAAGTTGGGGGGGGTCTTAAATGTACCTTTTTGTAATCTCAGAGAAACTACAAAGTTTATATAATATGATTTTGACAGTTGATGAGTCTAAAATGTCATGTTTTTTTACAAACTCATTTGTTTTTATTCAGTAACTAGCCTTTTTCTTTTTTTTTTTTTTGAGGTTGAGTAATAACATTTTCTATAGTGTTTATTATGATTTGAATATCAGTTCTGGAATCAAAAACGTTTTCTTCTTGCTTAGGCTAAGATACCTGTGTTCACCCATCTAATAAGCACATATCTTCTAAACCCTGTTCTTGGTATCAAATACTGAAATGTAACAGATGTCAAATTTTGCAATGTGGAGAAACTGCATTTTATTATTTCTCTGATTTATAATTTTGGGTATCTTTGCATGGTTAATAGGGAATTTTAACTGTAAAGATAATTTATTTCATGTAGTTCTAGGGATCTAAGACAATAGCTTTGTCTAGATTTTTTTCTCTGATTTTCTCCAAGTCAGTGTATATTCAGGGTGCAGCCATACAAATATGTGAATAAATAATGCTTATATCATCTTAATTTAAAGTCTTCTTAAGGTGCCTTAATTGTACCTATGATTAGTTATGGATTTATTGTTGGTTTATTTACTCTTTAAATTAGCTGACATCATGACTTTGAATAGGCCATTTAGTTTCTGGTACAACTAATTTAATTGGATTGGGCCTATGCATAGAATTTGGGAATGGTTCTGACCGAATAATAAATAACTTTACTATACTCTTTATGTATGAAATGTTCTTTTAAATTATATATTTCTTGAGCATATTTACATTTGGACAACACTCACATTAGTTGTGGAGTAAAATGAATATGTAAAACTTATTAATTTTTCTTTAAATTGATTTTAAATGGTCTTGGTTTCTGATTGACCTCACGGTGATAATGTCTTCTGTTTGAAATTCAACATGGGGAGTATATGAGTGATAATGTCCATTTGAATATTTTCATATAAGTATATATTATTCTGTGTGTGTTTTTTAGAGGTACCAATCTTGGGAAAAAGAAGCAACACATTTGTCATATACCAGGATGTGGTAAAGTCTATGGGAAGACCTCACATCTGAGAGCTCATCTGCGTTGGCATTCTGGGGAGCGCCCTTTTATTTGTAACTGGATGTTCTGTGGTAAAAGATTTACTCGAAGTGATGAATTACAGAGGCACAGAAGAACACATACAGGTTACTAATATTTACTTTTAACAGATAAAATTAACTGTAAGGCTACATACTACCTTGAAATTTTTTTTTTTAAGCATACCTTACTGAACTGAATCTTTTAAAATATGACCAATTACATCATATTTCTATCTTCAGTAACACCAATTTAAAAACACTAATTCCAAACAAGTCAGTATGGCTTATTTTATAAAATAATGTTTTATTTTATGCAGACTTTGGTTAGCTTTTGTTTTCATATTATCCAGTGTCTTAAGCCACATTTATCTCATCATTGTTAATTATGTTAATGTTTTAAATTAGTTGTGTGCTTTTACTCTTGATCATTATCTTCTTCCTCCTCCTTAACACTGTAATAAAGAATAATTCCTTTTCCTCTGATAAATTCAGGCATTTCACCCTTTCTCTTGTTTTTAATATGTGTGAGGTAAGCAAAAGATATTTCACTGAGGAATAACAAAGGCATTGTTGATGTGAAGACTCTTTCATTTGTTTTAACACATAGTGTTGTGTGGTTGTTACATGAAATGGACCTAGGAATGACCCAAATTGAATGCTAACTTAATATAACATACAGATATTTTTCTTCTACTGCCATGTAATGATCAAGGTGTTCATCAGTCTATGCTCAATACTGAAGAATTGAAAAATATATAATGCATTTACAAAGTTTAGAGAGCTTAGAAGAAAGAACTATGGTGAAATGGTGGACGATATGGATTTTGAAGTCTCTTAGATCTAAATATATAAAATAATCCATGAAGTATGTAGTATTATGTTACATGCTCTACTCGTTTTAATTTCTGTCTCATCAGGTAGGTAGACAGATGAGCTTAACCTGTTTGAAACTGCAACGGACAATATAAGAAAGTAGATAAAGAGTGCTTGGAGGCAGAGATCATTATTGTTGGGATAGTAAGGCATTTTTGAGCATTGGGCTGGGGTAGACCTTAAGATGGCCCTATAATAGAATTTTCCTCAGTGGAATTTGATCAGCAGGATATAAAAAGAAATAATGTAAAAGGGAAAAAAGGTCTGTGATCAAATAAGTGTAGGAAACACTGTGTTAAAGAGGGTTACTATACAAGTACCTTCAAGGAATGCCTCTTAGGACCTTTAATAGAATGTTAATGAGCACTGTACATCTCCCAAGTCAGGGGAGGTAGTGGCAACCTCTCATTGTGCCATTTTGCCATGGAGTATGTCTCAGGACTAAGGTTCCAAGAGAAGCTTTGGGAAATACCTTCCCAGAAGAATAGAATAGTATATGAATAGAAGAAGTGAGAGATCATTTGTCACGAGTGAAGATGAGATTTTATTTAACACATTTCTGTTACGTAGGATTGAACCACGTTATAGAAGTCATTGGAAGTTAGGTAATGGAGAGTCTGAACTGTTTAGTTATCTGCAGGTTACTCTTGCATTCCCATACCACTTAGTACAGTGGTGAAGTTTTGTACTGTAATAAAATTTGGTATTTAAGGAAGATTTGTCTGGCATTGATTTGTTGGATTGGAAAGGGAGAGACTAGTGTGCCATTGTAATATAGTTCAGACATGAGGTCTGATGAGGACCTACTGAGAGCAGAGGTGCTGGAACAAGAGATATGTAAGAAAGTCATTTTGAAGAAAATAAACTAAGGAAATACTGGATTTGTTTATTGATTGAGTTCTCCTTAGATTCCTTGTAGGTTGGCCTTTTGCCTTATCTTCTACTAATTGTCTTACATAGTAGGTCTTCAGCATAATAGAAGTTCTGTCTGTCTTCTGTATTTTAAAAAAGTATTTATGCTGGGAAATAAATTTAGGCTTCATAGAGTCTTATTAACTTTTAACATCATGATTTATTAGGCTCGCTCTTGATTATTCCAGCTGAAATCAGGTCAGCTGGCCATCTCCATTATTCTTGGGACTACTCAGTCTTTATTAGACTTCAGGCTTGTGTCTTGGCTTTAATCTAGAAGTACTCTGTGTAGTTACTTGAATTCGCATTTAAGAGTTGAAGGTTGAGTATCAGGGATCTGACATGTTAATAATACCTTAAATATAGCTCAGTGTATTTTTCTTTAGAGAAGTATGCTACAGATAGTCGTTTTTAAGCTGGTATTTTGTAACGGATGTTTCAAAACTATTAGCATAGATGAGGTATTAAATTCTTACCTGAATATCAGTGTATAATAAGTTTGAAGATTGCTTTTCATCCAGAAATAAAGGTGACAGATTTATTTTGAGGAAAAATATTCTATGAGAGAAATCTTGCAGGGACAGCTCATGAAACTAATATAGTTCTAATTGAACTCTGCTCCCTGTCCCTAACTGTCAGTGTTGGCTTATTTTCTTTCTCAGGGAATGAAGAGTCTATTAATGTTAAATTTAAAAGACTAAGTAACTTAATTTCTTCAACAGGTGAGAAGAAATTTGTTTGTCCAGAATGTTCAAAACGCTTTATGAGAAGTGATCACCTTGCCAAACATATTAAAACACATCAGAATAAAAAAGGTATTCACTCTAGCAGTACAGTGCTGGCATCTGTGGAAGCTGCACGAGATGATACTTTGATTACTGCAGGAGGAACAACACTTATCCTTGCAAATATTCAACAAGGTTCTGTTTCAGGGATAGGAACTGTTAATACTTCCACCACCAGCAATCAAGATATCCTTACCAACACTGAAATACCTTTACAGCTTGTCACAGTTTCTGGAAATGAGACAATGGAGTAAATATTACACAAATACTTATTCATCGTGGTTATTTTTATACAGTAGTGAGAAGAACATTGTTCCTAAGTTCTTAGATATCTTTTTATTGATGTGCAAAAATTTTTGGATTGACAGTAACTTGGTTATACATGACACTGAAATGCCTTACTTTGTATGATATTCCATAGTATATTAAAAATGGTAAAATTGCATGGGTTTTGTAGGTACTTTTGGAATCTAGAAGAAATGAAATTTTACCAAGTTATATAAAGAGAAAATTGAATTTAACAATGCGAATGGTAGTCTAACCAAATGCATCAATCCTGTGTGGTTTAGTGTAAAAATGAGAACATGTTGGTATTTATCTATTGTAAGATAAAAAAAAAGTTGGTGGGTGAAAGAAATCATGTTATGATAAAAAAAATTTTTGTAATTTTCTTGATGACTGGAATTTTTATTATGCATAACTGACAAATCAAGTTTCCAAGCAAATGTTACATAGTGTAGGCTTTACTTAGCTTATCAATTTGTCATTTTGAAGCTAATTATTTTAATTAGGTTAACTATGTACAATATTTTAAGCATTACTCTTGTAAGATTTTGAAAACTACATTTTAACATGGAACTCTAGGGATAGTCACCTTTTAAATCCTGTTGAAAAGCCATGTTTAAGATTTAATTTGCCAAAATAATGTCTTGTTAATATTCTTTCAGTAATGAAGTTGGGCAATATAACCAATGTTTAAAAAAGTTTAAAATGTATAGGTTGAGGCATTTGGGTGGTAAGAAAATGTTATAGTGAATTATCCCTTTTCTTGAGTATTGGAGGACCAAAAAAATAAGGTGTTATTGCGTCTTAGCAGTGTTTTTTTTTTTTTTGAATCCAATCTTGTTTCCAAAAACCACATGTCTGCCAGGGCCTTAAAAGCCATCATGTAAATTACCAGTAAAGTATAACATATGCAAACATAACAAAATCACTTCCATAGTGACGATACTCCAACCATATGGATATTAGTCATAGAGAACTAGAGGTTTTATGATATTTTTTTAAGTCTTTTTTTTGTTTGTTTTGTTTTTGGTCTAGGTAGTCAGTCTGCACTTAAATATCAGCCATTTTCCTTTTTTGCTTTTTCCCTTAAAATTTATATGTATCCAGTACATTTAATTGAGAAATGTATGTTTTTTATTATGCTGTATTTTCTTTTTATTTTTTAATTATTGTTTATATTTTCAATTATTAAAAAATGTACAAAATAAAGTTTCATTGCTGGTCTTGTAAGAGCTATACAATTTTCCAGAATGTATACCTATAACTGCAGCAGTTCACTTATTTCAAAAATTTGGGATTCTGTTCATTTGTTATTCTTAAGACCACCTCAAATTTAAAGGCTACCTTATTGTACGTTTAAAGTGTATTATAACAGTGTGGTAGTTAATAAAACACTATTTTTTTTTTCTTTTGAGTTTGTTGTATTCCTATGCATTTAAAATAATTGCAGTGGTATGGGGTAAGAAAATCTGTGGTTTATTTTTCTTAGCATTTTATTTGCAGATTCTTGATTTCAGATGCTGAGATTATTGTAAACAGGTATATTTACTTAAAAAGGGAAGAGTAGAGGCTCTAGCAGATTACTATTTTTTTGCCTAAAAATGAACTTAGTAAATAGAACTTTTGAAAAAAATCTTTTAGCCCACATTGATTCATTAGAATTTTATCAATCCATTTTGCAAACCTTATTTTTCCTTTGTTTCCCCTGTTAAAGCAGTGCAGGATATTTTGATTTATCAAAAACTTGAGTTTGCATGAAGATTCTTGAAAATGATAGCATAAGACAAGCTTTGGTAACAATGGCAAGAGTTGTTTGAAAGGGTTATGTTTTTGAATTTATATATGTCTAATCATAAAGGCAGGGTAAGAGGGAAGGAAAAATTAACAGGATATTAATACGACTATTTTAGATATTTTAAAATAAAAAATCCAATTACTTTCTACGTGTATACAGTGGGGTTAAAGATTTCCATTGTCTGTTTTCCAGGCCCAATCTGATACTGTCAGTAATATCTTTGAACGCATAGGACAACGCTAGATACACATATAAACACAAAGTTTTTCTCGTGTGAGACTTAAGCTTGTGACGTGAAATCGGAAGTATTACTTGGAATCATATAAATTAATGAATGTACATTTATTTTGAAGTTACATGGTTAGAATTTGTATCTTCAAACTCCTGTAAATAATTTCTAGAGTTTAAAAAATTAGGTTGTGTGAAGAGGATTATGTGAGGAGGTTGCTCACTTGAGCAAAAACACCTATTAAGTCAGGAGATTAAAAAACTTTTTAGAGTGTGATAGTAGAGCTGTTTTTAATATTGAAAATTTATAGCAAGCTTATAGAGAGTTTTTGATCCATGAGTTTCCAAACAAATTTTATCAGTTCTTAGAACATGAATGCAATGAAGATAGTAAGTAGTCTTAAATATTATTTAAATAAGTTTTTAGATTTTTTTGAGTGCCCACCTGGAATATACCTGTGAATTTTGGATCTTTACCTAACAAAGAAATGAAAGTTAGTGTTCAACCTCAACCAAGGTGATTTTAAATACTTCTTGATTTTTATTGAAAAAATGTTGAATATACTCTGGAAACTTAATATTTGAAGAATTACCCTGAAGTAGTTTTTTTCTAGTTATAAAATCTATTAGTATTGTGTATGGGTATAATATTTCTTAGTGTAAGTATATTCTTCAATAAGGTGTTTTTGGCAATTGCTTTATTTTTGTAAAGGCTAGAGTTAGTGCATATTCAGTATATTTACATACAAATAATTCCTCATCTAGTGCACTAGGTGTCTATACTCTATACCTCAATTTAAAGAAAATAAACACTTAAGAAAATTTTATTTTCTGTTGATTGAGACTTAATGCCTTTGAAAAGTAATTAAATTACTTTATTAAATTACTTTAATAAAGTTTTAAAGACATACACCTATTGCAAAAGGTCGGATGCCCTTTAAGTAACTTTGGGCAAAATAATGAAGATGCTTAAGTTATTTCCGAATAGTGAAAACACTTAAATAGTAAAAATACATGTACATGTAATTTGAAAGCATGTCAAACATATTTCATAGAAAATAGTTCTTAGCCAGTATTGTTCATCAGAAAACGCTGGGACCATTTAAAAATGTCCACAGGCCTAGCTTCGTTCTTGACCTAAATCTACATTTCTGGAGATGGAGAATATACACATGTGACCCGTGAGTGCCGGTGGGTTTGAACTGTGGGGTGTCTGCTTAAATGCGGCTGTTTTTCAGGAGTAAATACTGCAGTGCTGTACAGTCTGGTTGGTTGAGTTAACAAATGTGGATGAATCAGGCATAGTGAGGGCCATAAGTTATATGTGGATTAACCCCCTTGTTTTTCAGGGGTCAACTGTATGTATTTTTAACAGCTCCTCAAGTGGCTCTGATAAACACTACTGGGTTAGAATCACTCTAAATAGAGCAAGCATCCCTTTAGTATCTTAATTGTAGTAAGGATCCTATTACTGACTTACTCATGATTCCAGAGTTTTTGTTCTATTAAAATTTTTATTGTATTCAGTATTGTTTGAAATGTGGGGTTATTAATAATAACATTTGGTTTTAAAATATTGTTGGTCATGCTCCCCTAGTAGACGATTTGGTTTTCAGTTTTAATTATGTTAAGTAGAAAAGAATTGTTTTCAGTGTAAGAGAACAATTTGTTTTACTAAATAGTATTTTTAAAACTTTTTGCCATGAGTGAGCAGTAAGTCTTTTGTAGTCTGATAATCAGCACAGAACAAAATTGGGCAATATCTTGGGAACAAGATTTGATACTTTAGTGAAATCATGTTTTTTATTTAGTGTTGGAGACACAAAGATAATACTGACTTGGCCCCTTGTTCAGGCAGATTTGTGTATAATCAAATATATTGTGGTAAATACATGCTAGTGGCAGATAAAACGCGCTCTAGAAACTTAAAAGAGGGAGGATTCTGAATGGAGAAGTTGGGAAATTCAGGCAGAGGAGATGGCTCTAGCAAAGGAATGGTGTGATTTTGCTATGGATGATAGGGGAAATTGTGAGGGAGTGGGGAGGTTTTGGAGGAGGGGCTGTCAAATTGAGAAGGGGATCAGATTTTAATCTTTACCAGTGGTTCCTAATCTTTTTGGTATCATAGGTCTTCATTGTAGTCTAATGTTAAAACTGTTCAAACACTACATGGGGATTCATTTGAGCAAAGGCCTGAACCTTGGAAAATAGCCACGTTAAAGGAACTGGTGGATAAAGAGGAGTCCTCGAGACTGACATAGAAACAGTGTCAAGATGGTGATGAACATCAAATGCAGTAGAGAGGTCAAGTTAGTTGAAAAGAGAAAAGATTTTGGCAATAAGGAGTTACCAACTGATCCTTGTTAGCAGTCGATGCGTCAAAAACCTAGGACACAGGAAAAGAGGCTATGGAGACAGGAAGCATAGGATATTCTAAAGTGGTGAAGAGAAGAAAGATGGGCAGATGTGTGGCTCAGTCAGGATTAAGAAAATTGTTGGAAAAATTTCTGATTATATAAGTGATACTTACATTGATAAGAAAATAAGAGTATGAAGGAATTTAACCTCTGAGCTACTCAGAGATAACTACTATTTCCTTTGAAAATGCGTATCAAAGTTGGAGTTGAAATTTAGAAAAAGCTGCATGATTTGCTGTCATGTAACATGATTTATATCGGTTTTTTAAATTATGTATTTTAAGATATATGATGTGCTGAAAAAGGAGTCTATTGCCTTTAGCCTTCCTCTCCCCATCCCCCAGCTTTTTAACAGCCTTGCTTCTCTCCTAAATCCATATTAAGCTACATACTATATGGTGTGATATTGGGTAGGTTTCTTATCTTCTTAAAACCTAATTTTCACCATCCATAAAAAGGAGATAACTAACAATAGTATCCCTCATAGGATTGTTGCGAGGATTAAAATGTAAGCATTTAGCATAGTTCCTGGCTTACAGCAGGGACTCAATAAATGATACCTTCCCCTGTCCCCTACACGTTTATTAACTGGAGATTTCACTTTTCCGTAGTGAAGGGACCAGTGTTTTGGGGTGTCCGTTGTTTAAATACGGTTCATGCATTGATTTTCACCTTCAGAATGAGGGGGAGTTTTCAAAGCAGAAATCTGAAAAGAGAGCTATAGAATCTAAATTGATAGTGGACAATGTGTCTGAAGTGACTGCCTCATCAGAAAGGATGGAATAAGAAGAAAAGGAGGAAACAGAAATTACACCCTGATAGAGAATTCTAGTTTAACATTTCTAGGAACCAGCCAAAGAATCTTTAGGTTCATTTTGATTGAAAGGTAGCATTTACAGTTTAGTGGTCCCAACCTTAAAATTGGAAGAGGTCATCAAAGAAATGCAGCTTATTTCTCCAAAAAATGTCTAAGCCTCCAATTAATAGGCAACAGTGAAATAACAGGAAATGTTAGGGTAGATACTTTTTAGGATATCTGCCCAACTTATGTCCCATTTTCTGAATATTACTTCCTGCCACCTTCAGGGGCGAGCTGTTTAGATGATTGGACAAGGAGTGAACATCTGGTCAAATTTGAGCCAATTAGATGATTTCTCCCAGGAGTTCGGAGTCGGAAAACTGATGTCTTGGGAAGTTGCATTTGGAACCTGCATGTGAAGCAGAAAGAGAATAAATCAAAGATGAGAGACCATACAATCCCAGAAGAAAAAGATGAAGAGAACGGCTGCCTTGATTCCTGATAACTTTGGTTTTTGTTCCAATGTTTTGTGCCTGTGCATTTCCTGTTCCTGGGTTCCATGAGATACCCTCAAAACCTTCCAGAGACTCCCCCACTTCTATCTTCAGGTTTTTCTTAAGTTTGAGAGGCTGTTACTTGCTACCAAATAGTGCCAACTAAAATATCTTTGAGATAAATTCCACCGGTTGAAATGGTTGATGACTTGGTGCTGTAGAAAATACCAATGAAAAGTCATGGTTAGTGCCAGATCAGTTAGGTTTAGATGAGGGAAAACTCAGCATAGAGCCTGAATGAGTCAGAAAGGGTGAACTTTGGAGGGCCAATAAGATGTGCCCAGGAGAACTGATTAAAAGGCCTAGAAGTCCATCTACAGTCTGAGGATACTTAACAGAGGGCTGTGTCTCTGTTTGTGTCTGTGTTTGGTCTTAACGGAGCACTGACTTTTTGCCAGCATTAGCTTTATGGTTAGTATCTTCCACCACATGGTCTTTATACTTTCATGATGTCTTCTGACTCAGGTGCAGTTTGGTTCACTTTTAATTGTGTGTACCCAATTACTTAGCTTCCTCCCATCCAGATCCTTTAAAAATTCTTAGTTAATTGCATCTTTCCCATTTTTACTGTTGGTAACTTTGTGTGGCTTTTTCATCTTGAATCATTTAGTAAAGGTG